CCACCCCCCCACTCCCTTCCCATTACCCCCAAAAAATAACTGTTGCCTTGCTTAATACATGCACACTTTTCTTTGCACAAAATGTACAATTTGTAGGCCCCTGAAGTGATCATGTCCAAAGCATATGATGCTAAGGCAGACCTTTGGAGTCTTGGTACCATCGTCTATCAGTGTCTCACTGGTAAAGCTCCATTTACGGTAAGTTTGTGTTTTATTTTTCATTTGCCTGAGATTTTTTTAAATTTTTGTTTCACATTGATGGTTCAAAATTACATTATTATGGCCTGATTCTATTTCTAATAAAAAATGGGAAAACATAACATAGAAACGATTTTCCGCAGGCAAATAGCCCTCAAGCACTGAAGAAGTTTTATGAGAAGAACAAAGGAATATGCCCCAAGTATGTATATATTTTACTTTTCTAACAATTTTTAACTTGCAGTCACTCTTTGGCTAATAGCATTTTGTAATGTTGTTATAGCATTCCTGCTGGTACATCAAGTCACATCAAGGATTTACTGACAGGGCTTCTAAAACGAAACCCAAAAGATAGAATGGACTTTGGTAAGATGAGCAGTCCCCCTCTGTCTCAGTCCATTTGCGGCACCCTAAAGATGGTCAACATGCATGCATACATACATACACATTATATTTGTCTCCTTTATCCTTTACATAATATAGTATTTGAACCATTTCATTCCTATCACATTTTCTCCCATCTCATTTCATCTCATTTCTTTACTTCCCATTTCAAATCTAATTACCATCCTGCCATCACTAAAATCACTAAGATCACTAAAAACGAAATGGAAAGAGCACCCACGTGCAAGTTGATGACGCACGGGAGTAGGGTAAGACAAAATTTAAACTGCATCCGGTTACTAAAAATAGCCAGACCGGGAATTTACATGGCACGCGCGTTATTACGAAGTTTCCCTTTCTTATTTATGCTCTCTTGAACCCTATTATCATTATGTTTTCTCCACTTATTTTTATCTCCATGGTTGACAAGGGTGTTAAAACATTTGCCTTTTACTTTGGGTCATAGCCGTCATTTTTTTCTGGATGAATTCCTAAAGTCATCACACAAGTTTGTTTACTCTGTGAGCCTCCACTCAGTCCAGGTTTTTATAATTTTTGTAGGTGAATTTTTCTCACATCCTTTTCTGACTGGAAGAATTGTACAAAGGTCTTGTAAGTATTACTAAACACTTAGAAAATCCTCAATCTGCCTTGGCGAACTCGTGGTTCCTGCGCCCTTTCTGTGCATTTTGTTGACTTTTGTTGACCTTCGTAATTTCCAAGATAGAGTAATCATTCGATTGATTTAAATGCTCAATTCAACTGCTAAGATGAGTAATCGACCTTATACTTTGATTCAAATTTTTACTTTTGAAATTATTCTATTTCATTGAATAAGAAGTTCGTTCGTGTTTGTATGAAGCCCGAAAATACGTTTCGCGTAACGTTCGTAAGCAAATGACCTAAGACGATTGATAAACGTTTAATTATCGATCTGCTTACACTATAGTGAGTGAGCGAGCGAGTGAGTGATACATTGGCATATTCAGACCACTGACAATACCTCTTCTACGCTACGGGTATCCACGAGGTAAAAATCAAATAAGTTGCAAATAATCAAAACGTGCCGTGATATTACACCACTTAAAAAGGTTTGTCTTCTGGGTATGTGGATTTCAGGGGGGTGCAAGCAGCACTTGGGGGGCTATACCATTAATATAATACAATTCTTTGTATGTTGGGTTTTTAAAAAGGAGTCTAACGAAATGATGTGCTTAAAAACTCAAAATCCACACATCCCCCCTCCCCCCTAAAAAAACTTATACATTTTGAATAATCCCAACATTGACCATTTATTTAGCTACACCTGTGGCTGTACCATCAAGACATAGACATCACAGTGGATGTTCGCAAGGAACAAGATCCTCTGGCTCAAACTCTCCTGTAAGTATGACAGACTTTCCAACCTACTTTGTGTCACGTCGTCGTCCAGTGACCTCAACCCCGAAAGGGTGCCTTCTGATTAGACAAACTGTAATCTTGTATGGTATGATTGGTCTGATGGCGGTCCCATCCCTAATCAACTAGAGACGTTTAAAGAGCACCATGAGTTTATCAGTTAAAATTACTGTCTAGTGTTATCCTCTATAAACAAAGTTAATTTATTTTAATTCGTTTCAATTCTTGGTAACGATTGCGTCTCCGTTACGCCATGTAATCGCGCTTTTAACACTTGAATGTATCGATGCCTTTTGCAGAGTTATGGAGCTGAGGCTTTAGGAGATATTCGGGTAGACCTGCTGCACCGTATGACACCCCCATACGATATAACAGGTACTTCCCCTCAGGATCCTCACCCTGTCAGCCAAGGTAGTCTGGAACACAGCCCTGTTAATGGTATGTAAAGCAGATATACACCAATTCCAATGATCTACTCGTATTGGCTACTCATCTTCATTCATGTCACAACAGAAAACGTTTTGTATGCGACAACAGTTCCTCTTGTTAACTCAGGTAGCCCATGCACTTTGTAAAAGCAGAAAAAATAAAATATGACTGCCATGATGAACGAAAAGCAGTCCCTGCGTCAATTAAACTACAGTGAAATTATCCCAGCTTTTTGACTATTAGGCTAGGCCAGTTTTAGTCATTAATCACGCTTATTTTCTATTACTTCAGCTTATTGTAATCGAGGTCAGAGGTCATCAGGAACGCTCATGCCTAGTCCTCCTCGTCTAACCCAAGCTGATGATGACGTGGAACCCGAGGTTAGCCTGGGATAACGTTAGCAATAAAAAATATTTCTTATACTTAAGATTTTATAAATTTGCAAGAGAATTTTGAAATGTACGTGCGCATAAGCTTAAACAAATTAAATAATTATTATTTTATTTMTTTCTTTAATTCTTTAATTATTTATTTATTAACATTACATATAACATCTTGTTATTTTCCTATCAATTAACGTGAACATATTGAGCTGAGTAGGGGGGGGAGGGGGAGGGATGAGCTAAAGTTTTATTTCTGCCTTTTAATCTCTGTCACTATTGTTTTAACTGTTGGATTCTTCCTTTCAGGATTTCGTCATTGTTCCGAATAACCTTGATAGCGATGGTAAGATATCAGGGAACATTGCACTCTCGTTGTTGTACCAAGTGATCTTGTTTTGACAGCCCATCGAAAACCAGTAAATCCTAGCACAGCAAGAAATCTGATCAGGCGGCCCATCGGGAAAAAAAAACATGACGACCGAAGTCAGAAAAATTACTCTGAATCTTTGCTTCCCTAGCTACGTTATGGACTAGAAATACATTTAAAAGTCTATTTATTCTTATAACGAATACCTATGGGTCAAATGGCGCATTGTGTTTTTCATTTTTTTATGAAATTATCGTGAAATGATAGTTCTTTGTTCGCCGATAAACAACTGAAACTAGGACCGCCTCAACTACAACAGTCGTTTGCGCGCGTTCCCCGAGATCTCCTGGTAGCTGATGCTGATGTTACTTTTGCCCGTCCAGCGCGTTGTTGTTCTCTGGGTTCTCCGCTTTTCCTCCCTCCGCAAAACCTAACAAGCTAAATTCCAATTCAATCCATGAGTAAGCCATGCCCTGACTTTGATCAGTTGTTCTATGGTTCGATCTGCGAATGAGCCGTGCCCTGACTTTGATACATCATCAGTATTCTTGTCTGTCTTATCTCCATAGTGCGCCTTACGCTATATGCATGTTCTTCTTTAAATCTCGTATTACAATCTTTTTATTATCTTAAGGTACACCGAGAGCAAAGGTAACATGGGATCTTTATTTTCCGCATGAATGGTAATTATATTTATGAGTATTTTTCATTCTCATTTTTTCATTCTCATTTTTTCATTCTCATTTTTTCATTCTCATTTTTTCATTCTCATTTTTTCATTCTCTGGAAATGATTTCGGCTTTTTGGATTCCTTCAAGGGGTGGAATTCAAAAAAAAAAATTTGTACCCATCTATATAAACAGCCTAAATTTAGAGGGCCCCATGAAGGTGGTTAACTAAAAAGTTTTCCTCTGGCTGAAATTATTTTGCATTCATTAAAAAATCTGACGGATTTTTAAAAATTACTTTTTAGCCAATCATCACCTCCCAGAAACACAGATGCAAAGTTGTTTAACCCAGTCTCCCCTCAGCAAATGTCTCCACGATCGCCACCTCGCAGAGCAACATTCATGGTTGGCTCTTCATCGCCCAACTCACCTCCCACAAGACCCCGAGCCCATTCCGCCAGTAATCAGCCATCAACTTCTCAAGGTAGTCCTCGAGGTATGCCCCAACAATCCTCTGTTCCCATTTCTCGACGTGTCAGAACGAACTCCTCTCCAGGTCCTCGTCCAAACGTATCTCCCTGTTCCCAGTCCTCTACTCCGGTCCCTGTGCCTCGGAAAAGCTCTTCTCCAGGAAGCCCAACGGAAGCTCTACCTTACAAGCCAACGCAGGAAACCGGCAGAAAAATCTTCCTTCCAAGTAAAGGATCCGTTCCTGTTGTTTCAAGGACTCTCCCAAGTCCATCTTATTTAAAGGGGGCACAGTCACCTACTGACACCGTAGCGCCATCCTTGGTCACAGCGGTCGCCAAAACCTTTACTGACAACTCTAAAGTAGGGTTTCATAAACTGGCCAACTTGAATGCGGTACCACAGATAACCGCTGATACAGTAAGTATGGAACCTCTAGGACGACCTCCACCTGGAACTATTAGACGAGCTTTGTCTAATATTGAAGGATCAAGAAACCCGTCTAGTTCTTCTCCTCTTCTTTCTGCTTTGGCCAGACAGACCAACCCTGGCCTTGTGACTTTGGAGACGCTCTCCGAAGGCACTGAAGCAAGGCCGATATTAAAAGTGCATAGCTCGCCTGCTATTTTAGCCACAGCTATGGGTCTGCATCGAAACAGATCGTTTGGCCTGTTGAATACTGGGCAGCTTCAGTTAGGACTAAGCACCAGTCAATCGCCGCGACGTCATTCTAGTGGCGCGCCACTTTCACCACAGGGAGGCAACGAACCAACTCTTCCTACCTCATCTACTCCATCCCATCTTCCTCCCATCCCAGGATCTCCTACCAAGTCTCTTCATACGAGTCACGTCGAGGAGGAGGCTGAACTCAAGCCTCTACGTGGGTTGTTTACCGCCGGGTCGTCACCTCCTTCGGCCGCCATGAAGGCAGGTGGTATCATACCTTTCCATTCTTTACCAAAGTATACTGGTCAAGAAGCTGTGAGCAATGATATTCCCGCTCTCGTTATGCCTGACAAAGGTACATTAAATATGAGTGATATTAGCTAGACCTGTAGACGTCGCACACTGCACTTCAAAAAGCGCGGGAAAGCGTTTGCGCGCGTTTAAGTCTTGAGGCGCGAACGCATCTGTTAGATTAGTAACGGGAAAATTTTAAGAATATAATTTTCGCAGGAGTATGCGCTGGCGTTTGACCGCGCGGTTCACACTGATCCTTCATTTTTCATAATAATGGGCTTTTTAATTTTTTTTTAATAAATATAATAAAGGTACTAAAGTTACTCGAGGCTTTTCCCAGAGTTCTTCGTCTACCAGCCATGTAGTAGAACCTTGTTCTCCCGAAATGGAGGGTACGATTGCACTTGTCGCTCCAGACCTACCTGAAGACACGCTCTTGGAGGTAAAAAATACTGTTTCGAACTAAACCAGTTATATAACGATGTATAGACTTGTTTCCTAACTACCAACTGATTTTCAGCCTGAATGAATCAGATCTCTAGAGATAAACCAAGCGTTTAACCTTTCCAAAGTTCAAAAGAAGACTCTGGTAACGACCTCGTGGTGCAGATGTTTGTAGGGCGGAATTTTAGGACGTAAAATGGCAAAGTCCCATAAAGTCCCACAATTCTGTGCACAACGAGGTCGTCAGCAGGATTCCGTTTAATATCAGCAATGCGATGTTATTGGATTTGAGCTAGTTTTCAGATACCTTAGATTTAAGAGCAGACCCAAAAAACCATGGACAAAGAATAATGTTGTAAAATGGCAGTCCATCAGGAGGAAACCAGAATCTCTTAGATAAGCTACTAGTATGAGCAACTTGCAAAACGTGGCCAATTTTATACCTTGAATACTACTTTAAAATCTGTGGAATATAGGCTTTGTACCATCATATGATGGCAGCCATGACAGGAGGCAGGAACAACTGAATCTCGTCTAATTAGCTTCTAATTAGATTTACATAAGAAATGATTGATTTTCCTATGCGAAAAATCCGTTGTTGTGCCTCCTGCCATGGCTGCCATTACGTGATGGTGCAAAAAGCCTCTATAACTATGGAAGAATCCTTCGCGGCCACTGCATTGAACCTATGAACTGTGTTTACATATAGACCGAACATACTGATGGAGTACGCAAGCTGTCTTTCGCTTTATCCCTGGTCGACGCCATCTTGGTTGTCATACGAGCTAGAGGTGCCCCGCTGACCACGCTTGCTGACTCAATCGCAATACGAATGGTATGCACATTTATTATTTATTCGCATATATATTTTTTCGTTCTTAGGCTTCTTACAAACACAAATATGCTGCCTTCATTTTTTAAGACACTATTCCAAGGTTGAGTAAAAGCCTGGGTCGAGTTAGGGGATGAAATAGGCGCCATCTTGGAAATATGTTTCCTAAAACAGCCCCATAATGCAATACATTGCCAACTCGACCCAGTTTTTTTCTCTCCACATCGGAATGGCTAATAGCTCCTTTTCCTATGACGTGAACATTTCCGCCATCTTGATGGCACCTACAGGCACCTACAGGCACCAAAAGCACACTAACTTTATATAATTTTCTTTTCTCAGAATGAAAGCGTCTTAACTGATCAAATCGGTAGCATTAGCGAGGAATGCAGGTAAAAAAATATTACACTGTAATGGGTTGATTGTGATATTAGAAATGGTGGTGGTTGTCATAGTGATATAGATAATGATGTTGATGGTAATGGTGTTGTTGATGATGATGATGATGGTGTTGATGATGTTGATGCTGATGATGGTGGCGATGATAGCAATGCTGATGGTGATGGCGATGGTGACAAAGATTAAAATGGTTACCAATGCTCATAATGACAGTGTTCTCTTTATCTTTTCAGGACCACAGAACAGCTTGTTCTGTACCTGAAGGCGCTGCGTATCTCAAGTCTTGCTTTACGTTTCGCTCAGGAGGAACTCCAAGAACATCGCCTGAAACCTTCCAATGCTGTCAAGAATGGTACGAGCAAGAAACCAATTACTCCAGATAAACGTTTATGACTATGACTTATAGCAGCTTGTGTTCAATACTTCTGTGTTTTAATCTTGTACTGAGACTTTGGTTGGATCGCAAATATGGACAACGTAACGCAGCAAGCAAGGAAAACTTGATTTCTAGTGACCATTGCATTAGTTTGGTTGAGACCCACCATAGCGCCCTACCTTGCCCATCAATTATTTTTGTCTGAATATCGGTGTTTGTTTTCTACTCTCCTCAGTGGTGAACGACCTGAACAATCGCTACCGACAGTGTTTGGACAGAACAGCGCGAATCAAGTCCTTTTTACAGTCCAAATCGATGACAACGGATAAGATTATAACAGTAAGATATCAAAAAGCATTAGATTAAATATATCGTGACGTCAAAACAGCTCAACTTGGAGGACAAAAGGAAAGAATTTCAATCTCAATTGGAAATCTGTTGTTGTTTTTTTCAAATTGAGCTGCATTCCGATGTGCTGCAAGGGGTCTATTATGAGATATCTTCGTCAGACAAAAAAAAAATTTTTCATTGACTTGTTTTTTGTTTTTTTTTTACAGGCCAATGCTGATAAATTGATGTATACCTATGCAATGGAACTGGTAGGTGTCCTTTATATCCACGTTTTCTCGCAGTTACATCGGTTATAACAATGATAAGCCATTCCGAGGCTGAGGGAAAAACTGGGTCGAGTTGGCATGATTGCAGTGCATTGTGGGGCTGTTTTAGGGGACAAAATAGCCGCCATCTTGGAAATATGTCCCCTAAAACAGTCCCACAATGCACTGCAATACCAACTCGACCCATTTTTTCCCTTAACCACGGATGGCAAATAGTACACCAAATCCTATTCGAAGATGTTGTCTCATTTTCTTATAACTGTTCTTATAACTAATACTTTTATTCTTTTTGAATTTTAATATATAGTGTCAAAATGCAGCTTTGGATGAGCTGTTTGGTAACCCAAAAGAGGTAGTTCAAATTTTTTTATATTTCTTTTCTCCTAATTATATTTGATTATTCAGTTCCGTTCTAGTGTATCCCGTTTTGTTGTTCCCACATCCATGATCATCGCATCACTTCGATTTCATCTTGCAATCCACCTGTTTTTGTTCTTTTTTTCTGCCTGCTACAGGCCAATATCATTAAGTCATGTTCCTGTTACCTCCTTGGGAAAAGGATAGCAGAGGACAGTAGTGAACGACAAACACTCACCCAATCCCTCCTCCAACCCCCCTCCTTCCCTCTCTCTCCTACCTACATGATAAATGTACTCTTTCATCGTCGCAGACCTCTTTTCTCGTTCCACTCGGGACGCATTTTCAAATAAGATCTCTTGGATGGCATCAACTTTAAAACTCTACTATTTTCTTTTGCTCTCTTTTCTTGAGTAATGATACGATCAAATTGACATTTCCCCCCCTTCAGTGCCGTGAGAAGTACGAAACAGCACAGTTATTGTTACAAGGGCTAGAAGAAGATGTCAAGAAGGACACTGACTTGGTTTTATTACAAAAATGTATCCTTATAATATGTAATATATAATATATTATAGTTATATAGTTATGCATTATCATCCCCTCCCCTTCTCTATCCCAACATCAATTGTGCTGTGAGAATCTCGCTGAAGATGAAAGAGTTCCCTTAACCATGTCACCACCAGATAAAACGAATGTAGACAGACGTTTGACTCAACTAGCCCGCCGTAAGACAAGCGTCAACGTACGCTGATCACGTGATTACACGTCCTTCGTGACTGGATAGGTTTGTGGCCGGCACATATATTCTTCAGATGCGGGTGTGTTCGCAAGTCTAGCAAGTTTAGCTGAACTAATGTATATATGAATATATATATATCCTTTAAAATATCAGCCTTATGTTATTGTTTGCTGTAAAGTAAGTAACAGATATTCGCTTTCGATAATGTATTGTATTAACAGGGCGGATGTGACGTTATTTATTCAAGTTGTATTAGCAGGGCTAAGCTGTAATGACAGGAACAAGACCTCTTAAAAAAAGTCATTCCGCCTTTCCAGACCTTTCACACAGCTATTTGACACAACTTTACGTAATTAAAACTGACGTGGCATGTGACTATGACGTAATTAGGCTACCATGGCGCATGCCATGTGGCACATGCTATTTGATTATATCTTATGGTAATTATCATGGGTATTTATAGCTAGTATATTTCCACAGCCAAGTGATGGGGAAGAGATTTGGAAAAGTGGATTTATCGTGAAATAAAGGATAGTAATATGTACCGTGTTACCATAGTTACCCGCCTCTTGTGGTAACTATGATGAATGACGTCATTGAATGGTACACGAGATGAGAGAGGTCCGTAAGAGGACTTATTAAAATGGTATATGATGTAATACGGCACAGTAATGACGTGTTACGAAAGTAATTATGATGAATGACGTCATTGAATGGTATACGAGATGAGAGAGGTCCGTGAGAGGACTTATTAAAATGGTGTATGATGTAATACGCCACAGTAATGACGTGTTACGATAGTAATTATGATGAATGACGTCATTGAATGGTACACGAGATGAGAGGTCCGTGAGAGGACTTGCTAAAATGGTGTATGATGTAATACAGCACAGTAAAGACTTGTTACGAAAGTAATTATGATGAATAAGGTCAGTGAATGGTGTGAGACGAAAGTGGAGACTACAAGTCCTAAAATAATGCATAATTACAATCAAGTCATGTGCATTTCCCTTCTAAACAATATGCTATGATTTTAATACAATTTGGGTAAAACGAAATTTTACAAAAAAAAACTTGGTTATTGTAAGAATTTGTAAATATGATTTTAATGTAATTAAGTAATAGATTATTAAAATATTTTCAACTTGGCTCGTACCATTGTTTTTTATTATAATCATACTAATGTAGCGTGTAGCTTCTCATTAATCCCATATAGGTAACCGTCCAATTATTTTCTTAATTGGACAGGTCTTGTTGATATGGTATTAATTAGGCAGGTATATAATTAATAGGTAATGGGATTTCATGCTCCCCAATCAAGAAATAATTAGACTCGAAAAATTCCTCTGACTGCCAAATAGGACTCGGACTACGGCCTCATGCAATTTTGTCAGTCCTTGGAATTTTCCTCAGCATGGAGTCCTATTACATATACTAATAATATAACTTTAATATTCATACCTTGCATATTTCATATGCTTATGCTCACATGCTCTACACGTTGACTGTGTAATATAGAATCTCATAAATAAGGTAATAGATAGATAGATACTTAATTAACGTGTCAAGAAAATAACTAGCTGAGGGAAAACCCTCTACTAATAGGGGACACAAATTCGAATCCTTAGAAATAAAACCGCATAATTTTTTATGATTTATGCAGCGTTATTTATTCATATTAAGCGCAGTGTAAACTAGGGATTTACCTTTTAAAATTCTGTGTAATGGGGAATATTGGTTTACACGGGATAACAGACAATGACATTCAAGTCAAACGTCTCAACTTTCAATGCCATAGTCATCACTGATCAGGTCTTGTGAAAAGAAACTTGTCGAATTTTCTTATTCCAAACACGCGTCGAAATGGCTTTAAAAAACCGGAAATGCTTGGGGTTTTTTCCACCTGAAAATATATATATATATATAAATCTACTTTTCCTCTATATTGACCCGTTTTTGTCGCTTTTCCGTTGTATGAATACCGTTGCTACTGTAAACCGTTATTTGTCAAACATGGCGGTCATGACGTCACATGCATGCACGCCGAGAACCGAGGAATCTAGTATCATTTGTTGTGATTGAATGAATATTAAATTGCTCTGATTTTTTGATTAATTGGTTCATTAAGATACGAAAACCATACCGATGCCGGTTGCATGAGCTATCTAAATATTAACTCTCATATCGCATGATCACGTACGGGAGGTTTGAAGGATTTTTGTAGCTTCAAAATCTTGATGAAACTGAAAGTTCCTTCCAACTGTCTGATATGAAGAAAGCAAAAAAATAAACAAGCATTTCTAGGTTCTAATAGTCGCTCGCAAGGAAAAGAGACTGTATTCGTGAAACCTCCAAAGCTAGTGTTGAAGCTACAGATTGTAAAGATACTAGTTAGAAAAAAACCTCGTTCGCAATGCTAAATTGGAAAAACGAAAAAATAGATAAAACGTTCCGGATATCATATTATTAAACTCTCCTGTTTGTAAGAAGAATGATCTCATTGGTGTTTTTCCTTAGATTGTAAGCTTTTTCAAAACGAGTCGTAGAATAATCCATCTTCTCGTAATCTTTGTTTTCGTTTCCCAAAACCTCAATAAGAGCGTCCAGTCGCTGTTTAATTTCGTTCTGGTCAGCGATACCTCCAAACACTGAAACATACGCAAAATGCTCTGGAAGATCTTGTATGAACATATCTTTGTGCTTTGGTGCAGGAGGGCGATCGCAGTACTCGTAAGGTAGGTGCTTAGCGACAACAAAGTATCCAGGCTCATGGAGATCTTGCTTGAACTCTATCTGCACCTTCAGTGGACATGTTTTATTCATAGTCTTCTCTGGTCCATTGTGTCCATCAAAGTACTTCGCTAAAATCGATTCTCCTCTATCCGCGGCCTTTTTGAACTCCACACCGTTCACCCGAACGCATATCCAAGTTGAAGGCTCGTACTTACGGTATTCGTAGTCCGGAGTGAAATTGACGACCCTGTATTTTGGCCCTTCGCGATTGCGGTAGTGTGGAGGCTTGCGAAAACCTCGCACATCTGGATCCTCGTCCTTAACCTGGTTCCTGTCAGACAAACAGATTCCCATTTTTCCAACCGAGTACCTCAACATGTACGGCTTAGTTGCACTGTGAAACGTCACGTACTTAATAACGAAAGTTTTACACAACTGTTACTGATAGAAAATCTACCGTTGCTATAGCAAATACAACGTACACGCTGTCTTAATAAACTATTAATGTTCTGTGGTTAAAAATAAAACCAATTAGCAAGCAATTTAATAGGAACTTGAATAAGAAGCTTTGTGGCTATTCTATTCGCTATTGTCTTGGTTTAATATTTTCCCTGGATCTGTTTTAAAAAGAGTTCCCGATTAAGATAATTCCTTTGAAAGAAATTTTGCCAATAACTTTGTCCTGAAACTTTGCATGGACATTAATTATGTTATATTGAAAAAACATCTCAAAATAGTCGAAAACTGACATTTTTCCGAGTGGAGATTGGGATGAGTCAGATAAAAATCTCTACTCAAAAAAGAGAAAAAAGTGAAAAGTTTTGAAGATGTTTCTTATTTAGTTTTCGAAAGACAAATGCCTAAACTTTGTAAGTTCCATGCTTTTTGTTGCACTAGGGAATTACCTTAATTACATACTCTTCTTGGCTATCAAGCTTTGTTGCCGCTTCTATTTTCTTTTTATCAAAGAAAGTTTTAACAAAAATAAACAATATTCTGTTTTCGAAACTCTGCGTTTTGTCTATCATACCCTACCCATCTGATTGGCTGACTCGTCTGATCCAGATAGGGTGAACGCAAAACAGAAAAATAAATATAGTCTAGCTTCCGCGTAAGGTGAATTAAATACCCTGCAGGCCGGCTGGTTTCTCCCCTTAGGCTTCGGCTAGAATATTTTCATGTGTGAATTCGTACACCCAAGGGCAGAAGGATTCAGTTGCTACTCTGCGAAGTCCATACGCCGCCTCAGCTCTGCGGATGTCTCGCGGGTATGGTACCCTTTTAAAAAATTTCTGTCGTAGACTTAGTTTAAGTCCCAAGTTTTAAAAGAAAAAAATTTTTTTTCCCAGCGCACATTGAATTGTAGAGAATATTATTATTCCTACCCTTTTATCCAATGCATTTCAGATGGTTTTTAAAACCTACACTCTAATCCAATAGCAGTGATAGTGCCAGGTTTTTGTCGCCAAAAGTCCAATAGCGTTTTACACTTCTGGGATCGACTTGTGGATAAAATTTGTAATCAAAGGCTTTTTCTTACAAGAAAAAGTAGATTAAAGTTCTCTTATTTTATGATTTCTTTACCTCTTTCGAAAAACTCTTCACTTAAAGGTCATCATGCCACATAACATACAGCTACCATAGAGATCGCAAAGGGAAAAAAGAAAGTCTTTATTCTAAACGTATGGATATTTTGTACGCTATCTCTGCCATTCAAGTGAAAACCAAAAAGATGAGAAGTGATCGATATTTATGTGTGTTATAAAATATATATTTATAGTATGCGTTCATTATTTGCTATTTAAAAGTATGGACTGCTAGCTGTGCTGACCATATCTTAGGGTATTCTTTTTCAAATGACCATATTTAAGGGTATCCTTGACCATATGTAAGGGTATCCTTGACCGTATTTAACGGTATCCTTAACCGTATTTAACGGTATCCTTGACCATATTTAAGGGTATCCTTGACCGTATTTAACGGTATCCTTGACCATATTAAAGGGTATCCTTGACCATATTTAAGGGTATCCTTGACCATATTTAAGGGTATCCTTGACCATATTTAAGAGTATCCTTGACCATATTTAAGAGTATCCTTTTTTCAAATCCTTTTGTCTAATTTAAGTTTTAAGGTGACTGCACGCGCTCAACATTCGCTGAAAAATCTACGAGATTTTATTGAAAAACCATATATAAGTATTGAGCTCAGAGTTCAAGAGGGCAAAACCCTCAAATTTTGCTCGGGACTCTGTATTTTTTAAAAGCTTCTTCGAAAAAACTCCTAAAAATCTAGGTTATATCGATTTTTTAGAAAAAATTAATTTTTCTAACAGATGAAAAAATAGATTGTATAGCCTAATACCTTGGGGAGGCTGGTGTGTTGCTGTGATTAGTGTACAAGTGGTTTGCGGGTCCATACTCTTGATGCTATTAAATCCATTTCCTTTACGACTAAAACAAAACAAACTACACAATTGATCCCCATTTCTCTTGCTCTTTCAGAATTTGTTACTTTTTGCCCGAAAATCCAAAATTGTGGAAAATCMSKATCTGGATTCACTCYTTGGATCGGACTTTTCCTAGGKGGAGTGTCGGAACGAAGAAAAAATTTACTTTAGTTTTTCGACTTGAAATCATAGTGAAAAGTGTAACATTACTAGTAAAATTACTTCGACGTAGCTATTTTTAAAGATTAATGAAAAATTATGCCTCATTTGAGAAGGTTACCTTAAGGGGTACTCGTTGAGAATCTGTGAATTTATTCCACTTTTTTTCTAATTTTTTGTCGAACAAGGAATCGAAAAAAACGTTCGAAAACTGCTCGGTTGTGTTCCTGCCAGACGACAAACTAAAACACATCGTGCAAAATAGAGCGGCGTACAGTTACCATAGATACAACAAAGGGTAACTATTTATTCCAAACGAATGGAGATTCCGTTTCCCCGAATCGATCAATGCTATTCAAGTGAAAACAGAAAACGTGAGTAGTGATTTTTATGTGTGTTCAAAAAAAAAAAAATAAGTTGTGCGTTTATCGTTTACTATTTAAAAGTATGGACTGCCTGTGGTGCGAGGAAGGTTTAAGATACCACAGGAAGCCCATCGTTCTGGTTAATGTTAGAATACAGATCCTAACTTTACACCTTTGGACCTACCTCTTTACTATTTTGCTAGCATGAAGTTAACATGAAGTTGATTTGAAGCTACTAATCAACTCCTAAACCCACTGAATTCTTTCGCCCATTATAGAGGTCCCAGTTTTTATGTAAATAGAGAACAAAAGGAAATGTTTTGTAAGTATAAAATCTAATGAATCCAAATTTTATATGTTTTGGCCATGGTCGCGCAGACGACCAAAATGTAAAATAAAATAGTTCAAAAGAAACTTAATGGAAGAATTTTGTTCAACAGTTGATAAGATGGTTCAAAGGTCCTTTCACTGGATGTGAACTAAGCATGAGACCACGAGGTTGAGACCTCTTCACATCCATTGAAAGGACCTTTGTCAACTTTCAAAAGCTGCATATTTTGGTCAACTCTAAAGATGACCAATATTTATGTTTTAATAAAGCAGATCAAAAGAAAATGAATGGAATAGGCATGCCAGTTTAAGAATTGATTATGACTGAGCTTCGGAGGTCCTTTCACTGTAAGACCTTGCTATCATGACTATTTCACATCCATTGAAAGGACCTTTCGGTGTAAACGAAAAGTGACATATATTGTTTGAATCAACAAAAAACAAAACAAAACAACAATAAATATATATATTAATATAGACAAGCTTCAAGGCGCGCATTAAATGCCCTGCAGTTTTTAAATTTTTTTAGTTTTTCTGAAAGAAATCCTAGTCAATTTAAAGAATTATTTTCTAGAGAAACTTCAAGCCATTTTCGTTGGATTGATAGGATGGTTTACTTCATAGAAAAAGAAAATTTACGATCAAAATCTTGTTTGAGTAGGTATCATGTTTAGGTCACCCATCTCAATACTAACCCCCCTCTGCCGGGCTTGACTCGGTATCCGCGATGCCCAAGTATTTTCCACTGAGCCACGGTTCTACGGAATAAGCATAACAATAGGCCGTGAAAACAATGCACCGAATAGACTAGACTTTTTAACATTATATTTTCAACCGATTCCGTGCGTGGCAGAGATGCAAGGGATTAGCCGATATGGTCTGGGGGCCGGCTGGTCTCTCYMSKCTGGCTAGAACATTTTCTTGCGTAATTCGTACACCCAAGGGCAGAAGGATTTAATCGCCGTCAGGTCCGAAGTCCATACGACGCCCCAGCTCTGCGGATGTCTCGGGGGTATGGCACCTTGGAATCGATTTTTTATTTTTTTTATTTTTTTTTTAATTTTAATTTTTGTTATTGATTTAAGTGTAAATACTACCTTTAGAAATTTTTTTTTTTTTCTTTTTTCACCCGCATTAAATTTTACGGATCATTTTTATTTTCAACAGTTTATCCAATCTCCCCATAGCTTTAATTTTCTTTTTTCTTTTTGCAGTGTAAAACCATTAAAGGAGGAATATGCCTTACCTGATTTACCTAGTTTTACAAAGATCACATTTTATATGTTGTGCGTCAATGGAAGAATATAATTAAGTTAGGAAAGAAGTAGGCCATCATAGACAATCATCTCTCTGATTTTGGTTCTCGAGGTAAAATTTTAATTAACCACGCCCCAGCAAACTGAATCCCATCCTGCACGCAATGCCTAGTACGTGCTGTCTATAAGTGGCCCCTGCTTGAACTGGATAACGGCATTGACGAGCAAGAAGAGTCTCCGGTGAACCGACAACGTCTAAAACACACAACGGTGAGTGAAAGTTTCAAGAAATGCTTTTCCTAGTTGAAGTAGTGAATGTCGTTCGTAGTTAAGTAGGACTTGGAAGAGTGGTTCCTCATTGAAGTAGTGAATGTTGTTCGTAAGTTAAAGTAGGAAATGTGGTTCCTAGTTGAAGTACTGAAGGTTGTTCGTAGTTAGCAAAGTATAGGAAATGTGTGATGGTTCCTAGTTGAAGTACTGAAGGTTGTTGGTATGTTAAAGTAGGAAATGTGGTTCCTTGTTGAATTAGTGAAGGT